TGTATGTCATATAAACCGTTGTGTATGTCATAGTAACCGTTGTGTATGTCATAGTAACCGTTGTGTGTGTCACAGTAACCGTTATGTATGTCATAGTAACCGTTATGTATGCCATAGTAACAGTTATGTATGCCATAGTATCCGTTGTGTATGTCATAGTAACCGTTGTGTATGTCATAGTAACCGTTGTGTATGTCATAGTAACCGTTGTGTATGTCATAGTAACCGTTGTGTATGTCATAGTAACCGTTGTGTATGTCATAGTAACCGTTGTGTATGTCATAGTAACCGTTGTGTATGTCATAGTAACCGTTGTGTATGTCATAGTAACCGTTGTGTATGTCATAGTAACCGTTGTGTATGTCATAGTAACCGTTGTGTATGTCATAGTAACCGTTGTGTATGTCATAGTAACCGTTGTGTATGTCATAGTAACCGTTGTGTATGTCATAGTAACCGTTGTGTATGTCATAGTAACCGTTGTGTATGTCATAGTAACCGTTATGTATGTCATAGTTGCCGTTGTGTAAGTCATAGTAACCGTTATGTATGTCATAGTAACCTTTATGCATGTCATAGTGACCGGTATTTGAGCATGCTATAGTAACCGTTATGTGGGTATTCACTTTGGAGACGACTATTGAGGTGTAAATATCATCACGAGTGTAAAGCTGATACCACCTGGGAGTAAGCAGAGAACGGGACCAGCATGATAGCATATATAATGCATAAGATCGCGAATATCACTCACGTTAAACGTTGTTGCCATTTCTAATGATTTGTAACACGAACATACGTCCACGGGCAACAAAAATCGATCGATAAGCGTGTTAGTACGAAATTGATAATATTTGATACCTTCATTAGCATATCCTCGTACCGATTGATACGAGCATACTCTGAAACTTTACAAACATATGCTGCTGAATTGTCACAATTTTGTCTTTCCTGGCAAAGTAGAGCATACATACATGTAATATATATAACCACAATCCTGATGTGTACCTCACTGTAATGTACATGTATCTATTACTGTTTATTACTGTAATGAATCATTCCTGTCATGGATAATTCCTGTCATGTATATATGTGAGTTTACACATATCCGTTCTTTCCTGAAAAATCGTTATTAGCATGTGGTTGAGTCCTTGTCCTGATATGACAATCATTATTAAACCTGACGAAGATTGCAGTAATATCTCCAATAATGTCCAATGTCAAAATTATCAGTCCAAATCTACGATATACGTGCGTTATGTTCAATTAACACAAATGCAGAACAACTTTAACCGGGCAGCGAAAAATGTGACCAGACTACACTGTGACATAGTGTTATTTGTGATCAGATTGGTGTTCAAGGTAAACTAAAGAAAAAGGAAGGATCGTTTGATCATGTGACATAGTAGAGGAAGTCACGTGATACATCCTGGTAATTTAACTTCATATAATCAGGATGAGCTAATGATACATGTATTTAAAGCATTAAATGTATGCACACATTATATTGGATAATGCCAGCGATCTTCCTACAATCGAAAAAAGTATCAAAGAAAGTAAGCTTGATGGTTTAAAATGTTCAAATGGTGCCTTGTACTGTTGGTAAAGTGTTCTCAATTAAAGTTGCGATTAAAACCTGGCATTAACGACTGGAAACGTACACCGTTAAGTAGGTCTCGACCGGACCTGAGGTAAACATCCCACCTCGTTACATCGCCACACCTGCCCTCGGGATTCTGAGGTAAACATCCCACCTTGTTACATCGCCACACCTGTGCTTGGGATTCTGAGGTAAACATCCCACCTCATTACATCGCCACACCTGCGCTCGGGATTCTGAGGTAAACATCCCACCTCGTTACATAGCCATACCTACGCTCGGGATTCTGAGGTAAACATCCCACCTCGTTACATAGCCACCCCTGCGCTCGGGATCCTGAGGTAAACATCCCGCCTCGTTACATAGCCACACCTGCGCTCGGGATCCTGAGGAAAACATCCCACCTCGTTACATAGCCACACCTGAGCTCGGGATTCTGAGGTAAACATCCCACCTCGTTACATAGCCACCCCTGCGCTCGGGATCCTGAGGTAAACATCCCCCCTCGTTACATAGCCATACCTACGCTCGGGATTCTGAGGTAAACATCCCACCTCGTTACATCGCCACACCTGCCCTCGGGATTCTGAGGTAAACATCCCACCTTGTTACATCGCCACACCTGCGCTTGGGATTCTGAGGTAAACATCCCACCTCGTTACATCGCCACACCTGCCCTCGGGATTCTGAGGTAAACATCCCACCTTGTTACATCGCCACACCTGTGCTTGGGATTCTGAGGTAAACATCCCACCTCGTTACATCGCCACACCTGCGCTCGGGATCCTGAGGTAAACATCCCACCTCGTTACATAGCCACACCTGCGCTCGGGATTCTGAGGTAAACATCCCACCTCGTTACATCGCCACACGTGCCCTCAAGCTCCTCTGCTTCCCCATTCTTTGAAGTTGCTGACCAGGTACGCCGTGCCGCAGACACATGGACATAGGTATACGGCAAGGCAGCCATATGATAAACTATTGACGATGGGGCACTGGGTTCCGACTCTCAAACCCAGGTCAGGGTAAGGTTTCTCGGCATGGATTCATCAGAATAATCGAACTGACATAATGCAGGTTTGGTTTCTATCATAATTAAGACTTGAAAATTGATTAACAACAGATATGTTTCGTCACTTATTGTTGACCACCTACCAACTAACTGTGTGTTGCTCACATCAGGTACGGAAATACAGGTATATGAAAAAGGTTTCTATGGAATCGTGTCACAGGGGTACATAAACATGTAAGAAGGAATTGAACAAAGAACATGTAATGTAAATCAAGGTACCAATTATCTAAAACAAAAAATTAAAAATGTTAAACTAAAACTACGAACATGAAGCTATTGATTGATTAAAACAATGTTCTGAACACGTAAATGATTTAGTAAAGCAAAGTAGCAATTAACAAAAAAAAATGAAAATAAAACAAGGATTGATAAGGAACAGGCCACAAAACCATGTTTAAGAAAGGCATATAAAAAGGATAGTTACTAACACAGTGGTTTATAAACGCACTTTGACGTAAACAACACGGAGGTCTTTTTAGACCTGGATCACGAGAAATACGCTGTGTTTATATCCTCACAGTTAGTGAAATGATGTGATTGCCAGCTCAGTGGAAACACAAATGACATCACTAGACAAAGATTAAAACCCAGTAAGTACGGGTTTATTGACTAACCGTGCTGTAAATATTGGACTCTGAGAAACATGATGTCGGGAATCCCTAGGGAAGCAGATGTACACAGGCTGGTTTTCTAAGGAAATAGGATTTTAATGGCTGAGCGAACCCTGTTAAGGAACTTAAACAGTCTATTCGCTATCTAATACGTGATATCCCGATTTTCTTAGCAGGTATAAATCCGTCTTTATATATTCACTTGACAAATACCTCATAGTATCCAAACTTAATGTTAATGAATCTAGACCAGGAACCTTAGATTGAAACACGTGAATCTTATTCGTCAAGGCAACTTCCGTGGTATATCAAAAGAAAAATGTATTGGGCACTATTAAAACATTCTTTAATTCATCATTTTGTCGAATTTGAAGAATAAATAAGTTTGTTCTCCAGAGACATATCGTTGTAGGCTCAGGGAAGGATTTTATCTGCTGCATGATTATATAGTGTAACTAATGAAGGACTCATGCAGAATCGGGGGTTTCTTTGTTTTGTTCCTGGAAGATATTGACTGAAATTGATCTACTCTTTACAACAAACGGAACTTGTATGTTTCCGTTTCGACATTTAATTACTACTTTTGGCTGTGTCTTTAATTAAACACCTACATAGTTACCGTCTCTTGTCTAGATTCCAATCAGTAATCGCCGTATTGTGTGGAGTATGTTATCTCTGGGAAGACAAAGCACACCAGTAACAACCCCGGACTGTTACAAACGCCAGCCATCTGCTGGCTAGTCCAGTAACCTACAAACGCTAATGTTTACAGGTATGGGGTATGGATTATTTTACAGGGCCGTATTGTATGTCATTGTGTATGCACGTGTTCCGACCTACATACATTTAGCAATCGCTGCCATTCCGAAATCAGAACTGCAATATACGCATATTAAATGATAAACTAAAAATAATTCACCCTTTGAACATTTTATATAGTACACTGGTACAATATTTTTGATTGACATTTTGTCTACAATGTACTTGAGCACCTTCATACAAGAAATTGATACCTGATATCTTCTGTGTTTCTTGTAATATCTTGATCGCTTGAATTCAAAATACACATGACCTTGACTTCTACCAAACCTGAGTTGACACGTACACCACACCACACACGGTACAAGCGGTTCTTTCTTTTCGTTTGTAAAATTTGAATTAATATTTTATCACAGTTCCGCTATAGGTTTTGTCCACATGACCGAACACGGAGTGGCTAAATCCGACTTCACATATTACTTATTAAACTGATTTCACACAAGTCTTTGTTTCCATCAAATATCCACACGAGTAAAGACAGAATCTCGTCACGATATTTATGATAAAGACGAAAGTGTTTGCAATATTATTTAGTAACCCACTTTAATCAATGGTCGATTCCCACAATCATCGTGTAAAATATATGCAAAATAAATGTTTTCATTTGTCATTTGTTTTATACAGGTCAAATCATCATGAACGGCTGGGAAACAATATTGTTATTCAAGAAAATTGGCAACCTGGAAAGATTGTTTAAACCTTAATAGACCTTTGTGGATAAACCACTGTTATAAATTAGCCCGTACAGTGGCGCTGAAAACGTCCCGTAACACTTGTTTTGCATGTTAATGACCTGTGACTTGATTTGCGGTTACTCGCCCCCGTTTCGCTTTAAATATGCGAACCATTAAAGTGTGAAATTACAGCAATCGTAATCTACAACAAATTTAATCAGACTTACCAAGGCTTGTATCGAATCCCCCGAGGTATTCCGAAGTGGTAAACTGTCTCACCATACAACTTTTGCCAGTTCCTTCGGGACCCACTACAAGGACCCTAAATGGCACAACGGCTCCTCCAGAACCTGTACTATTCCCAAAGCTGCCCTGGGAAAGGGAGCTAGAAGTTCTCGAAAGGCAACCCATTTCACTCCCCGACGACATAATGCTGTTCGTACTACGGGACCTAAGGGAGTCCCCTCGATTAACGATCCCCTTTGATGTGAGTTCAAACGTCCGGAGTCTGTAAAAGTCCGGGTCGTCGTCGTCTCCGCACCCTTCAGACGTATGACGTAACGATCCGAGGTTCGGTTTTTTATAAGTGTTTTTGGTCGGTAGACTGCTTGTCCGAGGACGAATGTCAAGATCGAATGCCTCCAAGTTTTTCTTCTTTGATTTTTTAACAGAAGATGACCTACTCCTCGGTCGTGGTGAGACATTGAGCATGTTGAAGTTCACCTCCCCCAGTAGGGGACTGGGGACCCTGTGTCGGTATGGACTGGTATTATAATCCTTCTGACCTAACGTTGTCTCCACCTCACAGCCTTCGTCCACAGTCAGAAACGTCATCGGACACGACGACATATTTGAAGGGGAAAATGTCTAATCCAGAGAAAAAAATCAACACATGAATAGATTGTTTTACCCTTTCAACCAATCATCCTAAATTTTTATGACAGCGATTTTAAAACTTGGAATTGGTCAAGTAGGAAATCAGCTACACACTCATTCTATAATCATCCGTGTTTCACAAAAAGTACCCCAGACAATTTGGACAACAATTCTTGACTTCTATACAATCTCGATAACATCGGCTCTCAGAGACAACACTTAGGTAATAAACCTAACACACCATGTCAACAGGTGAACAGCTCCTTTGGTGTCGCTAGGCCGCGGGTTTCATCAGCACTGTCGTCTCCCGAGTCGCTGTGCTGCTGTCCGTGTCACCGTGTGTATAGGGAGGGACATGGAAGGAAGAGGCAATCACACTTTGTTGACATACTCTGCTTAGCGTTTAATGACAGCCCGGACAGAAATTATCTATTTTTAATATCCGTCATGTGACTGGCGATCTGGTGTCCATTAGCACGTATCCTTGGTCATCTGTCTATGTGTTTGAAAACAAACATGTGTACCACCGAACCCTGTCGTCACGTGCAAGCTCTCTGTTTCCAACCAATTGTAATGCATACCTCGCTGTCACACGTGCTGGCGACATCGATGACAACCTTACTGCTCGATTGCGTTTGTTACAATGTCCTCCATTGGTTGTCATTTTGGCGGGTAATTAGCTTACATTCCATTGGTTTGCCGTTTTTGCGACATACACACTATTCCAGTAACAGCAGCTTTACGTTGAATGTGTCCTGGTTCGTCTCGCTCTGTGAACACTCGCAGCAGCTACCGTTTGTAACTGCTATGAGACGGAGCAGGTGATTGCCGTGAAGGCGAGCGTCTCGGTAAAAGCATGCTCATTTTCAGCTCACTGCAAAGAGAGTGATTTATCGATAGTTGAACAATGTTCAGTTTATTAGAAATTGTTCAGGATTTTAACCTAATTTCCTTTTCCAGTGTGTCGTATGACGCCATAGGTTCCTTTATGGTGCTGCATATATATCCAGTAAATATTAGTGATATAACGACTATAATCAATCCACACATAGGAATAGAGCTGTACCACAGGCAATAACTACTGATCGTGTGATAGTTCACCTGTATACCATGTAGGTTTATTATAGAATACTTAACACACATGCGGGTTGAGGATAGAGAAAATAATATACATTCATTATCCACGTTGTGGTTGTCAGAGACAACTAATGAAGGTACCACTGAATTTTTTTTGTAAATTTGCTTTTGTGCCCTATTTCTTGGGACTTAATCAAACCAAACGTGACCAAGGTAAATCTGATTCACACATTGCAATATCTGGGATTTTTATATTCCTTTCTTCTTTTCCCTATCGCCTTGCCTTGCTTGACAATATCTAAAATGGAGAAGGCAATTCGCTGTATCCTCATGTCGGGACATACCATAGTCCGGGTGGGAAATATATACCGGGGAGGTTTATGCTGCTGTTTCACTTTCGCCTTTTTCACCCTCTGTGATGAGAGCGAATGTATCATTAAAGTAAACAACACAATATACAAACCAATCAGATGTGAAAGGCAAACTGTACACTGGGCGAAACCTGATAGCATGTGCGAAGGGCAAACTGTACACTGGGCGAAACTTGATAGCATGTGTGAAAGGCAAACTGTACACTTGGCAAAACGTGATAGCATGTGTGAAAGGCAAACTGTACACTGGGCAAAACTTGATAGCATGTGGAAGGGCAAACTGTACACTGGGCTAAACTTGATAGCATGTGCGATGGGCAAACATTTGACTGGTATATCCTTGAGTGAGCTTGGCTGTCATTAGGACGCTAAACTCCATAAAACCAAACTATCCACCAAAGGACGAAACATAATATTTTGTTTCTTGGTTGTTTATTTAGGTTTTATGTCCTCCAAACAGCTAATATCTTATGGATACGGGTGTCCAGCTATAGTATTGGACACATCCTTAAAAAGAAAAAGTGGGGAAGGGAAAACGAAAATTTCCGTCAAGTGATGTAATAGGGTCGGCAGATCTATTTTAGGACACGAAAAGAAAACCTTCTGCAGTGGGTAACACATTAGTCGCCTCTTACTACGTTCAATGGGGAACAGCAGACCTACTCTATACTTTAAAATGTTTCACATTTGTGTATATTCTGAAATGTTTGCATTTATTCAAAAGTATCTATAAGAGAAACTTTTGTTAGTTTTTGCAAATAGAATATGTATTTTGATGTACAACAGAATCCTTCCTTCAGACTTGTTCTACATCAAAGAATACTTTCCCTCAACCTCATACTTATCTTATATAGGAGCATCTTCCCCTTAACTGTAGACTTTTATGTTACAGAAAACCTCCATTAAACTTCAGGCTTAATTTTTATCACAAAAAATCTCCTTTTAACTTCCTACTTACTCTATATCATTTCTGTGGTGACCGCAGCTCATTAAATAGTCATAAATAATATTTTTAAATACATGTGTGCAACCTCAACTTCCGACCATTGAGGAAAATGTTGACTACGCCCTGATAAGAGACGGCATACGTCAATCGAATAATAACTCTGATATCAATTCTATATTGACTTATCAGAACGTGTGTTTTTACATTGCATTAAAATCTGCTGATATTTTGTTGAAATACAGTTGAAGCTTTGATACATTAAATTGTGCACTTCCGGTTGGTGCAATGTAACTTCCGGGTTTCCGCAAGGTTCACGCACCATAACAAAACCTTAGACATCGTACAAAAGCTGTATTTCACAGTACAACTACAGACTTAATGTTTGTAAAGGCAGCTATTCTATGAGTAGCCACAGATAGTTGAACATTATTATTTAGATAGTATATACTATATCATACATGTTGTAATTTAATATTTTGCTTGGACCTGCGATTCTGGTGGTTTGACCTAATTAAGAAAACCACCACACAAAAGTTTTGATAACTTACCTGTAAAGTAAAAATATATATCAAATCAAAGCAGAAAATTGTTGAATTGCATTGAGAGGTCAAATTAATATGTGTCAAATTCCTATATTAATGAAACTGTTCTCATGCTCAAACTCAGATTTTGTGCTCAAGACACATTTCTTTCAACAAGCAATTGTTCCAACAAAAGATTAAAAATCAAGTCACTGTTTGACCGATTCCTTCCGTTAATGCCTGATTCCTACCCATTGCCACCCGATAGGTTATTTAGTTGGAATAGGCCTCATTCAAGTACTCAGAATTGCACGGATTTCATAAACAACCATATATTTCTTAAATCAGGTATTGTAATGTTCACGGTCAAACCGAAATATTTGTTAAGCAATCGAATTTGATAAATCCAGTTGTATTTACCACATCTGTCGAACATCTACATTTAGTACAATATGGCCATATTATGTTAGGATTTAGAATGAACGAATTATTACTGATAATACATAGCTACTTAACGTAAATTGGTACCAAAACACGGACTACACCACCGATGATTCCTCTCCAAGAATGAATTAGTTTACAACAAAGTATAAGACCACTTTAACTAGTAAAGATGTTCAACAGACGGGATAATCATTGACTTGTTCGTTTACATGTTTTTGCTTGAGTTCAACCTTACCTCGATCGTCATTTAGAGTCCGAATATCTTTTTAACATGGAGCGACTGATTATTATTAGAGACATTCTGAAATGCAGGTTTTACAATTATTCTAGCTTGTTTGCGGTTATGATCCAGTAATTTATTGGTCGTACATATATACATGTAGACGGTTAGTCCACGTTAATCGTTCAAAGTCTCCCAAGGTTCCGTCAGTAAAGTCTTAACGGCTTTTAATAACATCGATTGGAAGTTAACGTGATCACGATCACATTCCATTATATGGCGCTAATTGAATATACGTCATATACGACACAGTAGTTTGTATGAAATGCACAACCTGTCTCTATTATTGCAAGTTCACATACACATTTATTTCGTGTTCCATTATACCCTACAGACATGCTGGCATTCAGGGTACACACTTATTGATTACATGTCCAAACCGTGTGGAAATGAATGATAATAATATGTATAACAACTTAACAGCCTACAGGTGCGTCGGGTACCACACGTGAGCACGCGCTACAGGGGCTGGTAAGGGGAGAGTAATACAACACGGTACATCCCGTTAGAGCTCAATACTGTGTCGATATCGAATAAAGCGTCTAATTCGGAGTTCTGTCACATGTGAGGTCACCATGGGGTAAATAACAACACGGATATGACGTCGTGTTTGTAGACAATAAGAAGGCAGGATGATGCACATTGTAGTGGCTAATGACATGAGAGTGTTAGTTGTTATTTTAGGTGAGCTTTTCGTGACATTCGGAAGTTAACAGATAACAATTAATGTATAGATTTACAAACTTCCCATATATACGTGAAGGCTCTTCTTGTCTGACTGACTAACAAAAGCTTCAAACATTCAAATGACATGTTTTGTTTTTGGTTGGGGTTGTGGTTGGGGCTGGGGGTTGAGTGGTAGGGCGAAGATCATACCTGGATATGGAGGAAACAGCATAGTTATAGGTTAGTGGAAATCAAGCATTTTCCAACAGAAAGGGTTTTTTTTCGTACCAAATAAGTTTGGTTGGGTCCATTTTTAAACTTCAAGAACCTACCGCTGTTTAAATATATGTACATGTTTGTGTTTCCATCATAAAAGGGGACATCATTTTAATGACAGTTGACTTAAACCCATGAAACGTCTTGTGATACTCTGTGCACATCAACAGATGCGCAGATGTCTGTGATATTACCCAGTCTCGGGGCTGTATCTTATAATAGCTTCTTTTCTATTTTGACGCTCAGTCAATGTTACCACATTATTTTTAAGGAAATGACTTTCAACATTTGATCGCCGAATTCTCAAACACGGAACATATTCCGACATAGGAAGTTTAAATAAAGCCTAGGCCTTTTTCTATTTCAGAAATCAGTGTGTGCATGATGATCTACATCAAATCTGGGTCTGTGTTAATGACGGCCCTGGTCTCGCCTGATCTTCTAGACTATTGTCTGATTTAAAAGAAATGAACAAACACATGTCTTCAAAGATCTTTCAAGTGACGATAACGAATCGAAACCTCCAATAACAAAACCAAATTGATTCGTGCCTTCGGTTTTACTAACTCTTATGTATGATTGAATTTTATAAGTTTGTCCTTATATTCCACTTTTGTTCGGAAAACGATATTATTGCAAATACTTTAAGCACGCAATTTTAGAACTCAATTTCTTTTTCAAATTCATTTTGTATCTGACGAATAATACATAAAAAATAGCAACCTCCGGTGATTAAGAAATGCCAAATTGTCCCGTTGCATGTGCCACTACCACGCCTGATTTGGCAGGGTGTACTCCAACATCTGATACTAGGCTCTTTATATTGGTGCATATTAATTTAAAACGTATGCTTACAGTTAACTAGTTTTACTGATCAAATGTGTAGTGAAATATGATATGAGAACAGAAAATAGAGTATCTTTCAGACACGAACAATTTGCCGAACAGTAGACCGTTTTGAAGGCTATTAACCCGATCATTGTAACCTACCAAGGCGGTAAGTATAGTTCAGTTACTCTTCTTTATGTAGAATTAAATCATAGTCGCTTTGATATGTTAGGGGTTTTCATTTAATAATATGAACTAAATTTAGAACTTTGTCTGACGTATTAAATAAGCACGCCGTTACCAAATCATTAAAGTTGTAATTGGTGCCGGCGAAT